GCTCGAACTCGTGAACTGTGAGATCATGACCTGCACTGAAGTTGGCTGCTTAACTGACTGAGCCACCCGAGCACCCCATCACCACCTCCTACTATACAAAACAATTTATTTCCCTTATTCTGTTTACTATCTCTCTGCCCTACTAGAATGCCAGCTCTATAGGGCAAGTAATTTTGTTTGGTTTATTCATCGCTGTATTTCCTGCACCTCACACAGGGTCTGGGGCATAATAGGTGCTCAACAATACTGATTTAATGACACAGAGATCTGGCTGGAAGGCAGTTATCAGTTGCTCTCAGAAGTGGCTGCCCTTGGTGACTTCAAGTTCCTGACTATCCTGACTAGCCCTTGAGAGGTCTCTTGGTGGTGGCGGGGCTGGTAGCTTGGCTCTCAACAATGGGGATCTCCAGGTGTCTACAGACCTCAGAGTCCAGGTTTGACCTCCACCCTAACCCCAGATTGCACCGCTCTATTCTAGGCACAGGGGTTAAAATAGTGAACAAAACAAAAATCCCCATTCTCATAAAGTCTTTTTTCTTTGCACATGCTGTTCCCTCTACTTGGAATTCATTCCTCTCTAATGCTAGGTGCACTTCCTCAAGACCCAGAAGCATTTCCTCCCCCAAAACCTTCACAAAGCTAGCCCATACTAACTGATAGAAAATTCCTCATAGTGTGGCTACCTCGGGCCAGTTGCCTGTTAAGAACCCGGGGTAGGAATTGGGATCCACATGATGTACTGGGGGACAGTCGGGGCTGGGGTGCCCATGAGTTTTTGGAGGAGAACTCTCTCGGGAGAAGGATATTAAGGGAGCATGATAGGCAGGGGAAGGAGCTAAATGAGGTGGTCTCAGTAGGAGTCTTAGCCTCGGTTTCATTCCCCGGGGGACCTCTGGAGGGTGCACCATGGCTTTGATCCATCCGGAGGCAAGGCCTTTTATCCCCTGCGTCCATTAGTCACTGGCTGTGGGCTGCCCCTTGGGGTGGCGTGGGGGACAGAACGTGACAGGCACAGTGATGGATGGGACCCGGGCAGAGTGCCAGAAGCAACCGCCCACAGCACCCAAACCTTTCTCTGTGTATACCCACTGTCTCAAATGTTGCTACTCTGCCGTAGCCTGCTTTCCTTATTCTCTCTCCTGAGCGCAGTCTCCGGTAAATCACAAGCCTAGGGAGCCTGACCTAACAGAATCCCTCCCTTATTTGGTTGTCACCAAAAGAAAGTAGGAAAAAATAATTCAAGGTTCCCAACTCTTTATGATTTTACCTGAAACAAGATTTAGAAATAATATTATGCCAAGGCACAAACAAGATCCCTCAGCAATCTAATTTTATGGACGACGACAACGGTTAAATCCTATTTGGACCTAGATACAGAGTACTTAGTCCTTACACCATACTGCCACCTTCTGGGAAAACTAAGGAATAAGAAATTCAAAGTAGCTTCAAATGTTTGGTTTGTTAAGCAGGACTGAGGGTGAAGATTGAAACCTTTAGAGTGTAAGGAGCCGAGGCCAATCCTACAGAGTATTAACCAGTCCTTTTTTATGTTATCTTAAATATACTATTATATTCTTATTGCATTTGGAAATTAAGGTCCACAGATATTATTGAATTAATAAGCTAAATTTAGTAATAGGCATAGGAAATGGGGGTTAGGAAACTGGTCTTCATATTTATTCATCTATCCACCCATCCATCCATCCATCCATCCACCTATCCAACTTCCTTCCTCCCTTCTCTTTCCTTCCTTCTCTCCTTCTGTCGATCCATCCATCCATCCATCCATCCATCCATCTATCCCTCCATCCATCCCACAAATGTTTAGGATATGCTTTCTCTGTGTTTGGTGATTTCATGTCAGATTGATAAATTTTACTCAATCTTAACTTTCTCACATTTAAAATCCTGCCAATCCATTTACTCTTCAGAAGAAAAAATACATCCATGGCATTAATAAAATTTGATTTTCTTCCCTTGGTTTTTTAAAAAAAGTTTATTTATTTATTTGAAGAGAGACAGAGATAGCATGAGTGGGGGAAGGGCAGAGGGAGAGACATGGGAGGGGTGGAAAGAGAGGAAGAGAGAGAATCCCAAGCAGGCTCCATGCTGCCAGCGCAGAGTCTGACTCAGGACTTGAACTCACCACACCATGAGATCATGACCTGAGCCGGAACCAAGAGCAGGACACTCAACCAACTGAGCCACCCAGGCACCCCATTATTCCCTTTAATTGCTAAAAACATTCTTTTTTTTTTTAAAAAAGTTTATTTAGTATTTATTTTGAGAGAGACAGAGACAGCATGAGTGGGGGAGGGGCAGAGAGCGAGGGAGACAGAGAATCCCAAGCAGGTTCCGCACCGTCAGCTTGAACTCACGAAACCATGAGATCATGACTGAAATCAAGAGTTGGATGCCCAACTGACTGAGCCACCCAGAGCCACCAAGGAGCCCCCCAAATACATTCTTATGTAACTAGTTCTAGGGAATAAAATCAGAGTTGGTGCAGGGCAAGTCTGGGAATAGGTAAATGCCACGGGAGACAAATAAGGATGTTGCTGCGTAATTAACTCTTAACGCTGATGTATTTTGAGTAGCTGTTGTAAGATACACTGTGAAATTATTTCTGCATCATTCAGTACTGTTTTACCACTGCACTTTTAATGACTTCACCATACTTCACCATACACGGAATTAGTCAGTCCTTTACAGATGCATGGGTAGGCTGATTCCAGTTACTTTGTAACCCAAAATGCTGCAATGAACAGCCTTATGTTTTCAACACAGATCCTGTGTCAATGTTTCTTTTTTCTTTAACTTAAAAAAAATTTATTTATTTATTTATTTATTTATTTATTTATTTATTTATATATGAAATTTATTGTCAAATTGGTTTCCATACAACACC